AACAATAAAAAGACAGCAGAACCAAGAGTCAAGGCTTTCCTAAAATAAATACTAGATATTTTAAATTGATGGTGATGTGTCCGGAGGAAAGGGAAATATGTTCTTCTGCTGAAATCCAGGTGGTAAAAGAAGATCCCACTAACTGTCAAATTATCAGGTTCACAATTTTCATGGTGAAGACCTTTGGTTTAATCAAAAGGGAGGAAAAAATTGGTTTGTAAAGTACTGTGTAATAAAGGTTAATCTCTCAGACAGGAACCAGTTAATACAGGAAAAGGCTATAAAGTAATTTCTGCCTCCTTTCATCATGTTCAAAGTGCAGAGACCAAAACAAAATGTGGTGCAGCTGAATAATAAAGATTTCCTTGTGCAAACTACAGGTACAGTAAGTTATAGCCTATAGTAAGAAGTTGTAATGCCAAGTTTCAAGTGTGATTTTATTTATTCAAATGGAATATAAAATGACCTGTGACACAGCAGGAAGCATTTTCAATGTAATTTTCCATTATAATGACACCCAGGAGATGTCAAATGTTGAACACTGCATATTATGAAGCAATTAATACAGATTCTTCCATTTAATTTAATCTGTTTTATCTTATACTGTATGTATCTATATCTTAGCTGTATCCATATCTTATATTGATATATCTAGAGTGTACAAAAATAAACTTGCACTATATTTTCCTATGGCTTTAAATGTATTTAATTCACTGTGTCTTGTATTCCCAGTCTGTATAACACATTATAATATCCTTATGTTGTTTCTCCTTTCTTTTGCAATAGAACAGAACAAAACAATGTTCTCGGAAAGGGGGCATTTCTTTTGCAAATCTGTGTGTTTGCGAGGCAAGTATGTGACTTGATGTGTGCCTGTGAGCTTGCAGTCTGTAACTCGGTGATCTATCCCTGCTGTAGGTTCAACAGGGCTTGCAGTGTGATAAATTACATTTGGCCCTGAAGGAGTATGAGAATATGTGTACTTGTAAAAAAATACAATTTATTCATTTTTAGAATGACAAAAAAACAAAGGCAGAATACAATTAATGAATATTTTTATCTTTGTAATGCTGGGGCTTTTGACTTCCTGTCCAGACAAAATAAAATTCATATCGTGAGATAAAGCTATAAAAAGGTCACAAATCTAATAATATTTCTAGTATGTTGGCACTGGGCCATAGCTAGTATATTTGGAGGCAGACCTAATGTGTTTAGATTCCTTCCTGAGGGTCCAGAATTTGTGTAAACCATCTGTGTCTGAGATGCTCTTATTTCCATCTGGCAGCGTGAATGGGCACCAAAGGGGGCATGGGATATGAACCACGCAATGAGCTACAGGCCAGCTTAGGTCAGCCACTTCTTTGTGGGAACATCGGCATCCACATCTGCTAAAGAAATCTTGTGTCTTTTTACTTTTTCATAAGACATTTAGTCATCAACAAAAGATAGATAAAATATGTCCTGCTTCGAAAATGTTACATGATCACTGTCTTTGGGTGAATAGTGCATATGATTATTTTTCCAAGTGTGTCACAAGAATCAAACCTGGTAAAAACCTACTGTTGTGAAATATTTATTAAGAAGAAAATGTCAGACTTCAAAAATCCAAGATGACTTTCATTTTTTTTATTATAACTATCAGTTTTTCCCCACCTATATGCATTTGTGACACAGATATTGATTGCAATTTTGATAATCTTAATGTCTAATATGATGTTTGGTCAGACTGAGACTACTCTTTTCATTATGGAAGGACAAAGCAATTTGTGTTGAATAATCCATGTCATTTGTAGTAGATTACTTATTATGGCAAACCTCTGGATTTGTGGCTACAAATTACATTATCATTTTTTAACCTTGAATATGTTCACAGATTATTAAAACTGTGTCCTGACAGTATGTGAGTTCAATAGCAATGTGATTGTTTAAAAGTAATTTAAAAAAACAATGTATAGGCAGAAATGTAATTAAAAAAAATTGAAATACTCCTCATAACAGCATATACAGTATAAACGCCAATGAGGAGGAGGTGTTTTTTAAGGGTGAGAGAGGATTTTAAGTCATACAAGAATGAATCTTTAAACATTCAGTATTTATTCAGTCTCATTATTCAAAATTTACCACAGTCTGCATCAACTTAACATTCGCACGATTCTTACATGTGAGAAAAACTTAAAGACACATCTGTCAAACTGTCATACCCAAAACTAGTTAAAAAGTGGAATGATTAAATTTGAAGTGGTGAAAAAGGTCACTATAATGATAAGATAACAAAAAAATGTACAACAATCATTGACTTATTTTAAAGATTAATTAAACAACTTAACATGAATGTTAAATTGAAGGTACTGAATGGCAAAGCTTTACAGTACAGAATTACATATTAAACAAACTTACCACGAGTTGACCTGACTTAGAGACATCTATTAATTAATTAAACAATTGATTGGCTAATCAGAGCCTTAATACTGCATTAATATTTTTGAAGTTTACAAGAAAATGAATTGTAACAAATATACTGTACAGCAGTATTAATTTGATAAATGCATGCTTCCCTCACTCAAATGCAGAAGTAAGCTACCCCACAAATTCATGCTCAGCTTCAGGAATGCACTGCAAGACCTCTGTTAAGGGGCACAGAGCCATTGCTTTCCCCAGGCAGGCCCAAGAAGTTAATACTCAAGTGCCAATATGTGCTGTTGTCTTTCGTAGACATTTTATAGTATGTAGTCCGAAATGTGAAATAATAATGTAGTGTAACTTAAATACATGTAAGAAATTTTACTTGTTTTGTTTTTGGAGAGTTTATTGAACTTTTTGTTTAACTTTTCTGTGGTGGGTACTTGGTCCTTTGGCTCATAATGACAGAGCTGCTGATTCCTACCTTGTGCTGTAAATGTTTTGATTATATTCAATTTAAAATTATTAACACTTTTATAATTAAAAGCCCCAAAATTGATGTACTCTACTGTAATACCTTAATTAGTAACCAGATTTAACTAGACAGGTAATATATTTACCACTTTTTAATCATAGGCTTTTGCCACTAGTCTTAATTAGTCTTCTCAGTGCTTACCTATGACACCAGTCATTTTTTAATTCGTGTTTCACTGGTACCCTAATTATAATGCAGCTAAATATTAATGTTTGCATCACCAGTAATATGAAAGCAAAAACACATGTGGTAGCAGGAAAAGCAGACTGTAACCATACTAACATGCCCATCAACCATACTAACATGCTTCAGGTCTCAATAGAGAAAACTGTGTCAACCTGAAAATAACATGGCCATTCAAGTTAGTTACACGTTTAATCTTTTAATCAGTATTTTCGGAGTTTGCCTCCTTGTCTGACAGTATATAGACTCAAATGGCTTTTACACATTGAAAAAATAAACAAAATAAAATCACATTTCCAGAGAAATACTTAGCTTAAGATGAAGGCAGAGAATGTGTACTAAGGTCTTTATCTCATCTGATGCTCAGTTGCTGTTCATCAAAGATATTTATATTCTACATTTATACTAGTTCAGGTGGGTAGCTGCATCAGCATGCATTGGCTGCAAAGGAACAAATAATAGGTTTATTCCATGCTGAAAAGAGAAGAAATAAAACACAACGTTTCGGTCGTGGAGCCTTCTTCGGGTGTCAAGACCTTCAGACACCTAAAGAAGGCTCCACGGCCGAAACGTGTTTTCTTTCTTCTCTTTTCATCATGGAATAAACCTATTACTTGTTCTTCTACATTTATATTCTTCACTCATATATGGATATTATTAATTTGGTCACTACATAATTGCATAACCCCCATTGTAGTGTGACCCTGTAGATGTTTGTGAAGTTATACATGTTACTGAGGAAATGGATTAATTCCAACTCCATCTCTGGTTCTCCTGAGACAATAATTTGCCACTGCTTGGAAAATGCTGGACAAAGTTAACTATTTTTTCTCAGCTAAGACACCAGACATGTGGCTTTGGTCAGTTTTTACCCTTGTTATAAGGAAATGTTTATTGGTTGCATTTTTCTAGAGATTGCTTGGTTAATCTGGTATGTTTTCATAGTGGTGGAAAGGGTGATAACACTTCAGTTTATATACTGTTTTTGTCTGTTAGAAACTGTCTACAAATAATAAATGAACATATACTAAAGCTGTTAACAATGGTTCTAAAATATTACACACCTCTAACCCTAGGGCAGTGCTGGACAGATGCAGTCCTGGAGAGCCACAGTGTCTGCAGATGTTTACTCCACCTCTGTTCTTAATGACATAATTGAGCTGATCATTAGCTTAATTGTGCCAGTATAATAGGTTTAAAGGTCTGTTATCTGTTAAAGAGACCTAGCAAACCTTTTGGATTCTGGCTCTTAAGGCTGGGGGACTTATGTCAGACTATGTCTGAAAGGTATGCTTCAGACTATAGTCAGGATAAGGGTTTTCTTAATTTACACTTCACTAAGAATGACAACAGCCGGGAATTAGGCATATTTTTTCAGGTTTATTCAGTGTTTAAAGTTACAGTAGTTTGTCTTTACCCACTTGGCTGAGGGTTAACCTCCTGGCCACTGGACGAGGAGGCTAGAGCTCCCAGCATGAGGAGAGACCAAGTGGAAGCTGGAGAGGTGGAGATGGGGTGGAGGAGAGATGTAAAAGACTAATGTGAAGGAGATAATAATAATTAATATTTAATAATTGCTTACACTTACTTAGCGCTTTTCTGGACACCCCACTCAAGAACTTGGCTGATATCATCCTTGCGTTTTCACACTTTCAAACTTGCGTTTTCACTATAAACTCCAAGATGGATAGTGTTTTGCAATACATAACGCATTTACTTTTACCTCTAGGGGTGTTAACCCTTTATTTGCCTTTTATAAAGATTGTTAATGCCCATACAAACGCCCAAACTAAACAAAATATCACTTTCTCTGCATGTAGTGTTTTCCTTTATGCATCAGTCAGCCATTCATTCACTTATGTGCAATAAAATAAGACATTTATAGCCAGAATACATATTTTATTAGGCAGATAAAATACTTTCCATAAACACAAAAAATAAATTTCTTTCAAGCACCAGTCTCTTCGTTCCAGACACTTATTTTACAGAACTTCAGAAAGAGTACATCAACTTTTTAATATGACAAAAGAGGAAGTATGCAAAGGCTAATTCAACTAACACTCTGTAGACTACCTACCATGAAAACGAACCAGGATGTGGAGCGCATACAGCTACAAAACTGCGATTGAACACAGACCAGATTATTTCCATGTCATCTCAAGGCAGAAGAAAAGACCGACATGGCTGATGGAGCTTGATAACATAAAACTGCCGAATAGAAACATACAGTATACATGCCAAAAATACCTATGGAGCGCACAGTCACAGACAGACATATTGACTCTTCACAGGTGCTCTGCAACAGTAGAAAGAATTTATAAATGAGTTGATTTAAGGATAGAATGGGCAAGGATCCTATCCAAGGCCAGGATAAAAAAATGAAGCTGGCCAAATACAAACAACAGTTTCCCAGAATGAAACCCTGCCAGTGTCTTGGTACAAAATGGAGCATCCGCTCAGCTTGATTAATATCCCCTGAAGGACAGCAAGGAAAACACATGAGGCCATTGCCTGGCAGCCAAGCTAGATTGGTTCTGGAATGCACAGATGTGGAATAAACACAGCAACATTTTTTTTTCCCGTGTGAAATGATTATAACAAAAAGGGAGCATAAGTCACACACTCATAAGCACACCCACATGTAGACATGCCCAGATTCAAAAGCAGGAAGCTAAAAACGATCCTCAGAAAGCATAGTTGTCTTTCAGGCCACCATTTAGTGGGACAGGGCATAATAAACAAACTATACATATCTTTCTTGGCTAAATAGGAAATCAGTCATTGGTCATTGCTTGCATTTTAGAAAATTTTTCCCTGGGAATATTACTGTCATCCTTATTCGTAACCTGCAGCTCTAGCTGGCTGTCATACACTCTTACAAAGCTGTATTGCAAGATGGAGACTATAAAACAGGTATTGTAGAAGTACAGTACAATTCAGAAAGACTGACAGCACTTCCACTAACTGCCCAAGAGTGGATGAGATTATTTTCCACGGTCAGGTAGCTAGAGAGGAGATAACTTGAACAACTGTCACGGTGCTCTGATTTTTCTTTTGTGTGTGCCTATGTGTGTGCACGGTACAGATGTATTTGAGTAATAGCTTCATCCACCCAGATCTTTATGGCCTTCCATAAAAAAGCTAAAACAAGAAAGTTGTATCCTGCCACATTCAACATTCAGAAGACAATTAGACAGATGTGGCCTGGTGGTCATGTCGTGGGATGGACTGCAACTCTGCTATGGAAAGTAAGGCCCTTTTTCATTGTTTTGATGCCATCGACTCAGAATGAAAGAGGAAGCTAACCGCTCTGCCGGGTCAGATGATGTCATTGTGATCTTCTCTGGGGCTCTCAAGGAAAGGTAACTCCACATCGGACTCACTCAGCTTCAGGACTCCCATGTGCAAGTCCAGACAGCACTGCAACATAAGGAAGAAAAGAAAAAACATACTCTTCTTAGCAAAATGACAGCTGTCTTCCTTCCTTCCAGTCAAGTACATTACAGTACATGAGTGTCAGTGTTTCTGAACCAAGCACAATGACATTGTTAATAACTGAATCCAATATACAGGTCTGTGCAAAAGTATTCAGATTTTCTGAATTTTTGCATATTTTGCCACTGAATGGTATCAGAGCTTAAATGTGGGTCCTAGTGATATATAAAGGGATTCTAAGTGAACAAATAACACCAAAGTTTGGTGCTTGCTTCATTTATTTTAATCAAGCACATCCAACATCCCTGTGTGAAAAGGCTAGCACCCACCCTGTACTTTATCTATTTCTGTGCCTCATCAGTGAAAAATGGTACAGTATACTGTTTGTAGACTATAAAATGAAACCAGTTGAATTCAAGACTCCTTCTGTCCTTCCTTATTGAGAAACTACTTTGGTTTAAAATTAATTGAACCGAATAGTCTAAATAAATAAAAGTTTTGCTGCTGTAGTACTGGTAAGCCTGGTATTGTCTGTGTTCAGCTGCACTGGAATGTCCAAAAGTATTGTCACAGGCACTGTCCAACCTTGCATTCTATTACAGGGCTGGCAAACTGGAGCCTATTCCAGAGGCATTAGGTAAAATTTGGGAATGAGAACACATGATATTGGGCAGTGTCTTTTTGAATTATTTTATAAAATATCAACTGAAACCTCAGTATAAAGGTGAAATCCATGTAAGTAAAATATTTAATAAAAGTTTCAATATTCCAAAGAGATTCTCACAAAAAAAGTTATTTCCCTTTCCTGTTTCCTGCTTTTATGGTCTACTTACTTTGTGTCTTGGTAGAATAGAATGACTAATGCTTTGAGATCCTAAGCTGTCAGTAAACATGAATGTAACATTTTTGTGTGTAGAAAATGTTGTATTCATAATTAATGATAACTCTGACACAAAGTGTATGATAAGCCTATGTTTGTAAAGACTTCGTTATTTACAATACTAACAAGGCCTGCTAAACTTTCCAATACAGTAAATACAGTCATGTCTTCGCAGTAATTCTGATTTGGTTTTAGCAATACAAATCTGCAACTTTACTATCCTCACTCATTGTGTTCTTGACTGCCCTTGTTAACAATTTAAATTCTTCTGCGGAAAGTTTGCTTAATGTCCATGAAAGAAGAAAAATATCTTACTATACCATTACACTACAGTATGATTTGTCACTCACTGCAGGCCTGGCATTGCCTTGATATTGTTGGAATGCTGTAAAAAGCAGCAAAAAATCTAAAAAAACATTACCAATCGAAGTCTGCAAACAACAATATGAAGTACTTTTCAGCTTATTGGACCATAGGTAGTGAAAAAATATACTACTGAAAAAAGGGAGAAGCACACTGGGGAATATTTAGAGCCCAGATAATCAGATATTCAATTACTGTATTTCTATCAAGGTTTCTGGATACATAATGGTTGATTAGAGCAATGAAGCACTTCAAATTAAGGAAATACTGCTTAGGTTTGCCCCAGTTACACTCTGGTGGAGAGAAGATGTACAGTACCTCAGGGGAACTTCTACATATAAAGCAATATTTTCTGATTGCTCTCTATTTTTGGGGTTGTGAGGCTTACTGAAGAGATCTGGGATCTGAAGAGATTTTTTAAATTAAAATTAATGTTCTTTTTTGATGAGAGAATAATTAAAAATCCTTTTCGGGAATGTATGTAATATTTTTTCTTTTAAAATTAAAGGTTCTTGAATATGAAAAATATTTAAGGACTGCTGAGAACTTCAATGAAATCCCTGTTCTTCAGCTGAAGAGCTTTTAGCATCCATAACTCTTCCTTATGTGACCCCACCCAGGAAGCCAAGTATAAATATTCAAGTACTGTACTCAAATACTTGGTCTTTTTTTAAGAAGACAGACATTCAGTTCCTGTATGGACTGTACTCTTTTTAATCCAGTGAACATTTATCAGATCACGTTGCCAAGCTAATGAACTCAGAAGGCTACAGAGTACTTTGAAGTGCTTTCATTAAAGGAAGAAGAAACAGGTTTTGAACAAAAAGAAGACCTCTTCATTTACTTTGAGGTTTAACAGAGTCTGCAATCCCAGGCACAGCTCAAACGTGTCGTCCTCTAAAAAAGGGGAAAAAAACGAAGAATAAAGTTAATTCTTTAAAGAACAATAGCCATTAGAAACCCACTAAAATGTTTTCGGGACTTTTTAAACACTTGACAGATCAGGAGCCAATTTAGACCACAGCAGTTGGTTATTATTTTGTGACAGAGGGCTTAAATTAAATTATTCACTGTGGTTTGCTACATTATGTTTACAGAAAACTATTTTAAAAAGCAACATTTTCATCAGTTTTGTATTTTAGAAATCCAGTGGAGATTAACTTAATGTAACACCTTACTGGTTAGGGCTGATGTACTGAGGAAGCCCATAGAGTTTTAATGTTAAAGAATAAATTCTTTTGTATGCTGTTTTTATTGAATGTGACCTATTTTTGGTGCCATGGCAATCCTAGCTTTTACCTTAAATACCTTCACTTTATCGTTATTGCCTGGAGTGTCTCTAAAACTGATTTTAACAAAAGCATTTCCTTGTGACTTTGAATCTCCAGTCTATTATGGTTGTCTTGTTCTTCCTACTAACACACATCATACAGTATATAACAGGATATCATGCATAACAGTAATGTCTTTTTGCTTCTATAACTGAAAGGGGCTATAAAATAGTAACAGTTAAATTGAATTTTAACACAGTAAAATTGATTAACATGGATTAAAGTGGCAGCATTGGAGAAGCCACAGTACTGTCATTTGAATATGTGTTGCCATTTGCTTTCTCTTTCTTACCCACGACATGTGCTGAACACTCCACTTTCTCCTTGCCCAGCTGGAGCTCAAGATTCTCCACCACTCCAGCAAGTGTCATCCCAGAAGACAGGCAGAGACCTGAGTCTGATTGGTCATGGCTGCCACTCTCCTGGGTGCTCCTCAGCCTGTAAACAGAAAGAACTAGCCTTCAGTGCTAGACAAAAAGATGTTTTAGATGTTTTATTTGTTCTGGAGACGTTTTCCCTCCTGATGACTATATTTTATAGTGCTGGGTTTACATCTGCACCAATCAAAAATAACAAACAGTACAGTATCAACATTTCTATCAGGAATTTCCAATATTTCCTCACTAATATCCAATTTTAAGCACACAAATAATTATTTGAAAATAAAATGAAGTTTATTACCTGACATTTGGGAGGAATAACAGTGTCAAATCAATTACACACAGCTGTATCACCATCATTATGAAATCACCATCATTACTAAATTAGCTATATACCGTACAGTATATCGAACACAAACACTTCCTTTCTCATTCATGTGAAGCATCCCATCATCACCCCATCTGCACCTTGCAGCTGCCCCTTGGTTCAGTCCTTCTAAATGGGGTTCAAGCCTTCTTAACCTATGGCTAATAGGCTAACCATTAACCAAGCAGGTTAAACCCAACCTTACCAAGTATTCCAGACATTCTCAAAGCAATCTGATAAAGCCACAAATGTGCAGTAATCAAAACCATTAAGCAGGACACAGGTGGAACAGACAATTAGAGAGCTTTTTTGGTTCCATGTTCATGAGAGATTCTGTAGTTTGGTTTCATCCCCATAGTTTGGCTTTAGACTACATGACGTCCTCCTCCAATGTTCTCAGTACTCTTATAAGCTTCCTTTTTGCTAATGGCAGTGTCATAAATATATGCCAATTTATGACTGAATAAAAGGGTTTTTACTAGAAAAACCAAGGCCAGACAGTAACCAAGATACACTCCCCATAGTAATATGATAAACAATAAATTACCATTCTCCTCTTTGGGGAAACTAATTTTGGTAAAAGTGAAGGAATGAACTGGCAGCTGAGGAAGATAAACATGATTTTGGGGTGACAATATCTGTGTGGACAATAGGCATCTGGAATCTTGTGAAAAATACAAGATAAGTTAACTTGTTCAATCTTTTAATTTTAACTATTCATACTAGTTTCTCAGACATGATGGACAGAAAGGAATCAGCCCCTTGCTGCACTGAAGAACCAATTTCTTACATTCCTGATTAAGGAGTGCCCTTCACACAATATTCATTCATTTTCTTTCCCAGTTTTTACTTCATTTGTCATCAGAATCACTTAGACCATTAGGGTACTGTATTTCTTTCTCTCCTGTCCTTGTTCATAAGGACATCGAGGAGATATTTTTTAGCTCTGAAACAAGTTATACAAATTCAGCTTGTACCAGATAAAAATGAAAAAAACAAACCTTTGCCTATTTAAAGTCCAATCTAAATATAATATATATCATAATGGTTACCTGTTTGAGTTCATATTAAACACCACAAATCAAAGGATATTCGTGAAATTGTTTAAGTAGTGTCTGATTGTTTTTCTTTCTGTGCAAACTCTATTATCCTACAAAATATTATTGGATTTTTCCCAAATGTGTTATTATCCTATCCCAAAAACTGCAAGACCAAGTTAAACTTAACAACTACAGGTCAATGGCTCTCACATTTATACCTATGCAGAGTCTGGAGAGAATAATGAAGCTATATGTTATTAAGGACACACAGGACCTTACTGATCCCCAGCAGCCTGCACACAGGGAAAGGGAGGAGTAGACAATACAATACTCACTTTGTCAAACATACCTGTATATAAACACCTATTCAAATGATTCAAACACTCAAAAAATGTCATATTGAATGGCAACTTGAAGAGATGTATTTGAGATTTTTTAACAAACAGTTTAAAAGTGGTAAAATAATCTCATGTACAAGGACTATCCAATAGAAGTGAACATTCTGTACACTGTTTTCTACATTTTGTATACTTATGATTGTAAGGACAAACACACAGACAGATTTCTTATGTAAAATAATACATTTTTATATTTATATTTAATTATTTTATTAAATGGTGCAATGAGTTCTCTTTGGAGTTAAATGTTTTGGATACCAAAAAATTTATATAATCGGTTTTAAGAGAAATGTAATTCCCGCTTCATTGGTCTAAATGATCAGACTGCAGAGATTGTTAATGATTACAAATTTTAGGTATAGGTCATAGATACAACAGATGCAAAACAGGATAGATCCTGAATGGTACACCAGTCAAACACACACACACTCACTCTCTCATACAATCTTCCCAGAAGTCAATTAACCTACCAGTGAAACTGGAACACCCACAGCAAAGCCACGCAAACATGGGGGGAAAATACAATTTCTACACAGGTCCATTTCTGAACCCAGTGCTCCAGTGCTGTGATCACTGCTTCAATATGCAGCCTAATACGTTTATTTTAACATAGCTTTCATATGATATGTTCCTCATATTGCTTGTTGTAACCTCTCTGTTGGTGGTGGTTGTTATGTTGTGTTGTTGTTGTTGTTTTGGACTGACATATCTCACACCAAATCATATTATACCCCTTATTAATCATCAATTAGTCATAAACACACATTTATATTAAATATATCATTACTATTAAAACAAAAAAAGAAAACTAAAAAAACACACCTGTCACTTTCCTGACCTGTTATTTCTGTGACTTCATGCTAGCCATTCTTTACACCACAGTAAACACCATGGTCTGAAGCTGTGTGGGTTGAATTGCTATCATTCAGAATTTGGTAGGAAGGTGAGGTTCAATGAAGCCCGAGATGAATACATCATGAATACATGAGAGAGAACATTTTGTGCCAGAAGCCAAATTGAAACATGCATTTTTGTACATATTTTCAAACCCTAATTTTTAAACTCCCAGCTTAAGTTCAAGTGCTGCACATTGAGACCATGTGAACTGAAATTAGTTAATTCTGTTCCCAGGACACTACAGTGTTCAAGCACCTCATTGCTGAAGAGGAGCCCAAACTCACCCCAGCTGTCTGCAGCAGCTCTGGGATATAAAGTTGTGCTGGTGGCCTGTGTTGATTGTTGCCTTCAGCTCCTTGTCACAGCACTATAGGGAAACAGAGACAATGGTAGAGTGAGTAAAAGGCCTACATGTGGCCTGCTTTACTGACACAGACAGCAGTTGGGTTGAATTTAGTATGATGAGGAAGGTTGAGGTGTTAACAAAAAACATGTATGTAAGGGGTCTCAAACTCCAGTCATCAAGGGTCAAACCTTTATTTCAGTCTGGAAATGAGGAATTATCTGATCACTCAGCACTGCTGTTCTTGATAAAAAATGCCATTTTAAATTGTATTAAGTATATAATTAGCAAATGACAGATGCTTAATGCTGAAGCTCAGTTTTTTTTTCTCAACATGTATCTTGGCTTGCTGTCTTTTGGTAGGCTTTCACTTTCCAGTGATTTTCAGACAGGCATTTATTTTCATCTCCTCCATGCATCTCAGCTGCTTTGCTTTAGGCTTTGTTTATGTGTGCAGGGGGAGAGGTGGGGTCCTGGACTCACCGTGACAATCAGTTGTACAGCAGCTCAAGAAAATACAGTAGCTGAGTGGTTTTTCTAAAGCAATGGAAAAGACCTTACAGGCACGCAGCACCACAGCAGGGACTCCATCACGACATGATCAAGCTCTGATAAACAGTTCTTCTAAAGACTCAGCCTTCTTCCTGTCACACAACCCATTCTGCAGTGTGGATCAGTAGCACACAGAGCCATTTTTTAAACACTATTCTATTTTGTATACGAACAGTCATGTATATAGAAATGGGGCCATTACCAATGTTTAATAGTGGTTATAAAGGGAGTGAAGACCTCCGTTTTCAGTGTGTGTCAAGTTTGTACAAACAGCTTTTCCTGGAGAAGTACTTTTTCTCGAATCTAAAAAAAGATGTGAAGCCATATGTAAAATCATTTTTATTATTTTTCTATACACTGCAATGCCTAAAGTAAGAAAATGTGAATACATATTAAATATGGGTGTGGGGTACGCATAGGTAAGGAAACTACTTTGTGAATCGTGCAATATAAATATAAATCTGAATTGGAATGGTAAATAAATGATTGCTGAGCAAAACGCTTGTAATTTACCATTTGTGTTTCTTATACTGCCGAGTTGAAAAACAGTAAAGCGAAAGTTGCACAATGCTTCACCTCAGTTATAGACCCTGCCCTACCATAATAATAAGCCAAAGGTACAGGAATAGGGTGGAGCAGTGGCTCTGTGGCTAAGGATCTGTGCCTGTGGGTGGAAGGTTGCTGGTTCAAATCCTATGGCTGGCAGAGGAATACTCTGTTGAATCCCTGAGCAAGGCAATGTGAAAAGATGAGTTCTGAATACAAGAAATTGTATATGGCTAATAAAGTGATCTTATCTGATAGAAATGGCTCAGAATTTGATAACATGATTATAAGATGCAGGCAGACTAGGCCTCAAAAGAGCCATGATTATGGGTGGCTCTCATGCATAGCTGATGCAACAACAAACCTGGCTAATTTAAAAACTTGCAAGGGTATACAGCCAAAGTTGACCAATTCTTGAGTGGTCCCATATATCTACTGTACATCTGTGAATGTTTTACCATTAAATTGGAATTGAAACCTTTAAGTGGAACTTGCAATCATACAGTATACAGTATATATCATAAGGATATGAAGAGGGTTATTATGGAATATTTTTGCTGGGCAGTATATGGCACATATTTATAAAATAAATGTATAAATAAATACTTAGATAAAGTTACTGTGCTGCAAACACAAGTTAAAGTAATCTCAGAGGTTAGAGTAACTTCTCTGGGCCCTAACATTGAAAAAATTTCATTGACATGCTTAAAATTCCTTCTATTTACTGAGAAGCACCAGAGGGCACGAGCAACTGCTAAGAAAAAGCAATACGCTGACATGATGTGAAAAATACTTTGCACTTTGAGAATAATAAAATGTGTGAAACATGCAGCTGGTGGCAGTTGTATCATTTTAAACTCAAGCTTGTTTCAGTAAAGAATGAGGCAGGTTTCTGCCTGGGGCTAGCAGAGCTTGACAATATAATTCACACTTTCACTTCTCAGCATGTTGTGTGCAGAGTATTTTATGAAAAGGGAAAGGTAAAGATATTTGAGAGTTGGATGGGGTGGCCTTCTCAAATGGCTCAGTCACTTAAGGATGGGGTTGAGAGTGCATATTCCAGAGGCCAGCCTGAACAGTTCTCATCTCGCTTGTGAAGGTTAAGTTGATGGACACTTTAAGTTCCTGAATGGATAAAATGTTTTTTTTTAATTCATGTATTTTTCTCATGATTGTCTTTTTTATACAGTACTTTTACTGCACCTTGCTAGAAATTGAGAGAAATTCTGCTGTGAAGCAAAAAACTCTAAACCCCTCCCCTTATACATTTCCTACAATACATTGTAGCGGTGAGGCTTATTAATAAGGCAGAATTAAGTGTTTCTGAGCTTTCCCAAATTAGGCCCCATTTCTCTGTTCATCTCTGTGGTGCAGCCACAGAGAAACCATTCATGCAAGATGTTTTCTTTTGATAAGGACAGCTCCCAAAGGGGGATGCACTTAGCTAAGCCTGGCTATCATGAT